ATGGTGCTGAGAGGGAAGGTTTCTCTTCTCTGAGAAGTAGCTGGCTTGGGGAAAGCCGGGCCTTGTCTGGATTCCCAGTGTGGAACTGGGCAACTCCCTTGTGGCCTTGCCTAAATGGCATGGCTTGAATCTTTCTGGGAGGGAGGGCCCTCCTTTGCTGAACAATGCCATTCCCTGGGTGCTTTATTCCTGCAGGTTATCTGCTCTGGGAGTGGTGTTTGGCTAAGGATGGAGGGGGGGGGAAGGCGGGGGAGGGGAACTGATCCCAAGTCCTGCTGGTTACCTGTGTACTCTGGTGGCTGTGTCCTGCAGAAAAGGTGCTGGGGAGCACACTGCCCAGGTTAGTTAAGATGTGCCAGGCACAGGACAGGCTCATCTCAGCTGGGCCGTGACTAAACCAGCCATCTGGGGCTGCCTTTCCAAAGGCTGGGGGTGAGGAAGCAGCACTCCAGTGATAACCAGTAGGTAGGGATGAGGACAGGGGACTCATCAAAGCAGCATGCCATGACCTGCACTGTTCTGCGTGGGCTGAACACCCGAAGTGGCTTGATACCTGCAGCTGCCTCCCAGAGCTCGGGCTGCCTGACTGCGTGTTGTTTTTCTTCTAGTCCCTTGTGAGCCCAGGTGCTGCTGGGCCTGGGAGTGCCACAGCCCTTGGCCAACCCACAGCTGTGGCTCTGCAGTAGCCTTCCCCCAGGGAGCCAGCTCCTTACTAGGGCGTTGCCCTACCCAGAGGCATTCTGGGGAGGAGTGGACTCTGAGTCTGCAGTCCCTTGAGAAATGGGCTTGCAAACACTTGTGGGGTTAACCTCCTAAGCAGAAGGGAAACCTCCACCTACCTCCAAAGTGCTTCCCTGGCCTAGACTTCCTCTCACCCTCCTTCCTCCTTTTGTCTCCTGGCTTGTGTTTGCATAGGTGTGTGTTGAGAGTGGCTTGCTGCCTTCCAGGGCCCTAGAGTCCAGGATGTTTCAACTGTGCTGAATAGCTGCCTGGCCACACCCATGGCTATCTGGACTCCAGAGTACTGGGCTCTGGCTCCCTTCATTGTGCTCTGTATCTATGAAACTACCTGGTGGAGAGGGGGTCACTACTGGCAAGCTGCAGCCAGCTGCTGTAGGACATGCATGGCTACCAAATGCCTGGGCTTGGATGAATCTGGAAATCCAGGCCTGTGCAGCAGCTCGGAGCTGGGGCCTGACTGAACATCTGCATAAGCTTAATCTGGGTCCTTACAGATTCCAGCATTACCTCAGCACGCAACTATCTGGAAGCCAGGCTGCTCCCTGCTGGGCCTGTGTCTAAAACTAGGTGGGGTTGTCTCTTGGAGCTGGCATGGGCAGCTCCGGGAAGTCGGCTGCTGGATGGCAGTGTACCTGGGATGGAGCCTATGTCTGAGTGGTCTCTTGCTGAAAGTTCAGAATGGGCTTCCATGAATATGCAGGGTAGCAATTTGGGGGGGGGGGGTTGCTGTGCAGATCTGGCATGTGCTTTCAGGGCGCGTTGTTGGACTCCCCACACTTCAGTCACTGCTGCTTTGATCTCTGTGCACAGTAACGAATCGGCTTCTCTACTCTGCTGCTCTTCCACTGAACTTGCTTGGGTTTAGGCTGAGTCTCTGCTGTGGGGAGGGGGCAGGTGATGGGCAGGATCTGTGCCCCCTTGCTGCATCCTAAGAGTTCCCATGGGTTGTGTAACAGGAGCTGGGGAACAGTTCTCCCGGCTTGGTGGCTTCCCCTGGCTTTGCTGCTCCTCTCACAAATGGGCTGAGTTGAAATGCTGTGGGGCTGGGGCAGTGAGACTGCAGCATGAAGGAAACCCCTCCCTGCACTGGCACCACCTTGCTGCTCAGGGTATTTCATTGTCTCTGGTGGAGGAAATGGGGGAAGGGTTCCAGGAATCCTGCCTGGCTCACAGTCCAACACAGAGGTGTCGGCAGCTCTTGGCATGTTCTGGGAAAGTGGAAGTGACAGCACTGGTGATGCTGCCAGTGCAAGGAAACTAAGCAAGTTGGAAAGTATTAAATGGAGGCTTAATTACCGGGGAACTCCAGGGTTTGGCACTGAGGGCTTGTCCTGGCATCCTGCTGGGGAAGGAGCAGCCAGGTTCAAAGTCCTACACCAGCAAGCATCCTGTCCTGTGGGGGGAGAGGGGTTGGGGGTGCAGTGACCAAGACCCCAGGCCCTTTGAGGTAGGGAGCTATTGGCCTTGCTTCTCCATTCCCAATCCTTGAGGCAGGCTTGTCCAGGATTTGCTGGAAGCCTGTGAGGATGGGATAGTTCTGTCTAGGCCTCGCTGGGAGGGAAGCTGCACTGCTGCTGTACAGATGTGAACGAGAGGCTGTGGGATGGCCTGGACCATGCACAGAGTAACCAGCCTGCTGGTCTAATGCCAAGCATGGGCCACGTTGCCTTCTAGCTTGGTGCCAATCCAATCTGCTGCTCTGCTTGGTGGCCTGTTGCTTAGTGTGCGGGGGGAGGGGGGAGCGGAAATGCCTGCTCATGCTCTGGCTCCAGCATATGCAAAGCAAAGCATGGCCAGGCTTTGTGGTGGGTAGCTAATGAGGAACTTGGACTTGGGGCAGGAAAGGCCAAGCCTGCACTGCATGTGCAGGGAGGCACCCGGAAAAGCAAGGGAAGGTAGCAGGTATGAGCCCCGGGCCCCTGGTGGGGGAGGCTCTGCTCTGCAGTAGAACAAGGCCCCTCCCAGCCCTCGGCTCTGCTTTCATGTGCAGCCTCCCCAGGAATTCTTTTGTAATTGCGGCATTGTCCTGGTATAGGGAAGCCTGTGGTTGTCATAGGAACACACACGGCCATTGGGCTTCTTGCTGCCCTGCAGCATAATGAGATGTTCACTAGTGCTCTGGCTTGGGCAGGGGCCCTGTAGTGGTAGGCAGCCCCCCCAGGTGGTATCTTCTGTGGGGCCCTGCCAGTGGGGGAAGTGATACCAGAACAAATGTGCTCGGGGCATTTCCCAGCAGGCAGGGGGGCTCTACGCTGGCTGCTCCTCCTACCCGTCCCAGGGAGCCAGTGGGCACTCAAATTCCTTACCCTGTTAGCAGCAGAGATGTCCTCAAGGCTGCTGGGAATGTCTCTTTGCCATGTGGTGAGGGGGGGTGGGCCTTGAGGCTACAAGCTCAGGGAAGGGGCCGGGGGGAAGAGAAGGCAGAGGCTGCCTTGCTGTGGCTGGGTGGGGTGGAAAAGCAGGTTTCCTCGTGGGAAGGGATCTCCTAGCATCAGCAGGGCTTGTATCCAGCAGGACCTGCCAACTAAGCACAACCTGGTGTGGTAGGGAGGCTTCGGGCTCTGTCTGCCTTGTACCAGCTGAGTGCCAGGCTGCGCTTGGACTTGCGGCTCTCTGGCTTTTGCTGGGGCTCTCTGTGACCGCCGAAGATCCAGCCAGACATTTAGCAGAGCTGCTGCCTTTCCAGACCTATCTCTAACCTATGATTTTGCCCTTCTTCAAACAAACCACTTCCCTACTCCAGCACTAGGAGCTGCTGGCTGCTCTGGCCCGCAGCACAGGCCTCCAAGCACTCTCAAGGGTCTTCCACTTTCCTATGGGAAATCTTTCCCATCATGCACTGGGAAATGGGCCCCTGGAGGGTGTGGCCTTCCTACGCTGAGTGCAGCATCCGGCTGTGCTGCCATGCAAGGGAGGGGCGCATGAGCAGATTCCTGAGGGGAAAACCAAGGCTGAACTGCATGGAGCCCTGTTCTGACACTGGCCTCTTTCATTGCTTAACGGTTACAGCAGGCTGCTGCCCTGCCCCCTGGGCACAAGCTGCTGGCTCGGACCACGTGCCTGGGCAGGCTGCTTTGTCGCAAGTGGCGGTTAGGGCATTATTTCAAGCAAGCCTAATAAGGCCTCTAGGATGAGGCACGTGGTCACAGGGTGACATCGCAGCACAGCTGTGCTGGATCGCGGCTGGCCTGCTGTGCTGTTCTCCCACAGGGTTTCTGGTCTGATCAGGAGAGACCAGACTCCTCTGAAGATGGTAGGGGGCGGGTGGGGCGTGTTGTGCTTGGTGTAAAGCAGTGAGCCGATGCCTATAGTTTTTGCAGACTTCTCACCAGATTCCCAGGAGGGGGCATGGGCCCAGAGCAGTGCTGACCAAATGTGACGGGCTACGCTGTGTATAGAAAGCCTGGTGTGCAGATCTCAGGAGGGCTCCTGGGTGCTCTGCTGATGCAGCAGGAGCGGTGACAAAAGTTGCCTCCAAACAGGTCATTCCTGGCTCAGACAGGAGGCTGCAAGGCCTCTGTAGGGACTCTGCTCTGAATGGTCTTCCAGAGAGCCCTTCTGGAGACCAGAGCCCCCTTCTCATCTGGTGCCTGTCAGCTCACTGAGAGCAGACTTGGGGTTGGTTTTGTTCCGTCTGGCTAGAGAAGAAGTTGGAGTTTATCATTGCTCTTAGTGCTGTGGCCCCCTGGGCTAGAAGCTCCTGGGCAGAGTCTGTAGAGCAGGGGTGGGCAAAATGTGGCCTGCCAGGCCATTCTATCTGGCCCATGGGGCCCCTAAAAAATTTAGAAAATTAATATTTATCTGCCCCTGGCTGCCTGTCATGCGGCCCTTGATGGCTTGCCAAAACTCAATAAGCGGCCCTCTGCCCAAAATAATTGCCTGCCCCTGCTGTAGAGACTTCAGCCCCCTCCCCAGCCTTTCTTTCAGAGTGGGGTAGAGGGGGTTGTGTTCCCAGTGGCCAGAACTGTAAAGGCAGAGGCTTCTAACAGAAAGAGCACTTAGCCAGGCTGTTTAGATAATCTGACTGCCCTCTGACCTGAGGTGCCACTTGCTGGGAATGCATGTGGGGTGGCCTGGCTGTGTGATGCTGCCTAACATGCCACGTGTTCCTGACCCTTGGGCAGTCCCACAGTGCACTGCCAGGTATAATCTGCCAATTAGTGGGCGTCTCATTCGGTGATGGGCACTACGTCGATTCCCTTCAGCAGCTGTCGGATGCTGCTCCAGACCAGCTAATTGCTGCACTTGGCTCTCCCTAGGCCGAAGCAGAAGTGGCATCCCTGAACCGACGTATCCAGCTGGTTGAGGAGGAGTTGGACAGAGCCCAGGAGCGTCTTGCCACAGCGCTCCAGAAGCTAGAGGAGGCTGAGAAAGCTGCTGACGAGAGTGAGCGGTGAGTGGAGCCCAGGGTTTGGCCAGCTATCTGTGCTTCCGTGAGACCTGGCAGATGCCACCATGGGTTGGAGATCCACATTTCTATGTGGCTTGAGGGTGGGGGGAATAACAGTGATGTATAACCCTCGCTTTTGCTTCTTTGGCAGGGGCATGAAAGTGATTGAAAACAGAGCCCTAAAGGATGAGGAGAAGATGGAGCTGCAGGAGATCCAGCTCAAGGAAGCCAAGCACATTGCGGAGGAGGCTGACAGGAAGTATGAAGAGGTGAGGTCTGCAGAAGCTCTGGCAACTTGGTCTTGCCTGGGGAAAAGACTTCTCCCTCTCTCTGTCTGGGAAATACTGCTGGTGTGGGTGCTGGAGGACAGGCTGGCTCCCAGCTGCTATCTTGTATTCATAGAAAATGAGGGCTGGAAGGGACCTCAGGAGGTCGCATCTAGTCCAGCCCTCTGCTCCAAGCAGGACCAACCCCAACTAGATCATCCCAGCCAAGGCTTTATCTAGCCAGATCTTGAAAACCTCCAAGGATGGAGATTTGCACCACCTCTCTGGGTAACCTAACCTGTTCCAGTGTTTTACTACCCTCCCTCCTAGTGAGAGAATTCTTCCTAGTATCTAACCTAAACTTCCCTTGCTGCAACTTGAGATTTGTTGCTCCTTGTTCTGTTATCTCCCATCACTGAGAACAGTCCAGCTCCATCTTCCTTTTGAACCCCCCTTCAGGGAGTTCAATTCGATTAGATACTAATGCTATTAGATACTCACCCAGTCTTCTCTTCTCCAGACTAAATAAGGCCAGTTCCCTCGGCCTCTCCTCACAAGTCATGTCCCCCAGCCACCAAACCATTTTTGTTGCCCTCCACTGGACTCCAGTTTGTCCACATCCTTTCTGTAGTTGGGTGGGGGGAGGGGGGCACAACTGGACACAGTACTACAGATGTGCTATTCTCCTTGCAAAGGAACTAGTGGACTGCCTGGTGCTCTCCTCTGGGCTGTGTGGCTTAGGAGGAGGAAGCTTGTTTCTCTCTCCCATCTTCAGGGTCTGGCTTCCCTTTCTCCAGGTTGCCCGGAAGCTGGTGATCATTGAAGGAGACCTGGAGCGCACTGAGGAGAGGGCCGAGCTTGCAGAGTCGTGAGTATCTCACCATTGCTCTTGCCTGCATGACTCCACTGCACGGAAACTAACCTAGAAAAAGCATCCCAAACCTTGTTAAACAAGGCCCGGGGGAGGGAGGTGGGGTGCTAGGCCAGCAGGTGAGGGAGGAGAGGAGCTTCACACACCTTGTGTTCGGAACAGGGACTGAGCTTGCAGCCTGCCTAGGCCCACTTAGTGCCTAGCAGACATGGCTAATGGCCTTCCCTTGCACTCCTGCTTTGCACTCAACAGCACAGCTTTGTGTGGTCACCCGGGCACATGGTCCTCTGGCTGGGGTTGGGGTGCAGAGCACGAGCGGCCACAACTCCGCCACCTCTGCAGGCTTCTGCAATCCTGGGGGTGGTCTCAGGGCAGGGAACAGCAGGTGAAGTCCTGGTCAGAAGGAATGCGCACATGTGGAGGCATCCGAGTAGATCTGCAGGGGCAGTCAGGGGCCTTTCTGTGGTCTTCTGGGCCTTGTGTAACAAAGTCAGCCGTGCACACAGCAGGCAGAGTTCTGCTTCCCTCCTGACATGCATGTCATGACCAAGACTCTTCTTTGTTTCCCCTCCCCCTTTTTTGCTCTGCTTACTGTGTTATTGGTGCTCCTTTTGACCTTTGCCCCCACCTGGCTTGTGCCATCATGTGACCGCCACTAACAGTCGTGTCCGGGAGGTGGAGGAGCAGATCCGAATGATGGACCAGAACTTGAAGTGTCTGGCTGTGGCCGAAGAAAAGGTACTAACTGTCCCCTCCTTGGACTGTGACACCTGCAGGTCCTGCGGCCTCCTCACTGTGCTCTTCCCTCCTTGTTAATGGCATCTCTCCTTTCTCTCCCTTCTGGAATGCTCCATTCTCTCCTGGCTGGCAACCTCCTTCCAGATTAGGGGCAGCTGTCTGCTCACTTCCCTCTCCACTATACTGGTCAATAATCCCATTCTGTGTGCAAGGTGTTGCATCCAGCTCCTCTTAAGGCCTTGTCGATGTTGCGGCAGCGTTTACAAGGTGCTTAAAAGGGGGCATCTGGTCTAAGCACCTGAGTGGTGCTCACTACCTGCACAAGTGCTGGCTTCACCCAGCCTGCTCCCAGGAGCCCTGTCTCCTTGTGGTCTTCTCTACATGTGGATTCACTTCTCTTCTTTTTTTTTCTCTCTCTCTCTCTCTCTCTCTCTCTCTCTCTCTCTCTCTTCCCTCCCGTGTTCTTTCCCTCCTGTTTCTCTGTCCTTCTTTCCTGCCTTCTTTACAAACCTCCGCAGCAAATGTTCCGAGCTGGAGGAGGAGCTGAAGAATGTCACGAACAATCTCAAGTCTCTTGAGGCCCAGGCTGAGAAGGTAGGGCTGCTTTGGAGGGCCCAGAATGTGCCTGCTGTTTGGCCAGGGGCTCTGGCTCCCACACATCCCAGAGGGTGAATGCTCCAAGAGCTGGGAGCCTTGCTGCAGCCTTTGCCTGGAGCACGCTGCTCGTGCTCCTCGATACTGCAGACCCAGGCTTACCAACCTTTTTAAATGCTGTTAGCAAGTAGTGCTGGCCTCACAGGGGGTCAGTCTGGTGATGAGTTGTGAAGCTCTTTCCAGGAACCTGGGCCCAACTGTTTGTTTGGGCTGCCTGGGTGTGGATTTGGCAGCCCCCTCTGTGTGCTCTACTATCACGAGAGAGGCCTGGAGCCAGAATCCCAGCTGGGTTCCTGCCACTCAGACATGGCTCTTGAGAGTAGAGGCAGGTCCTCTGGGCTGGGGAACTTCATGGCACATCTAGAAGCAGAAGTGAATTCCTCCTTCCTGTGCTGCTCATCAAGGGTTTGGTAACTCACTGGCAGACTCTGAACTGCCTGCAGGAAGGACAGTAGTGAGTAGAGCTGGGCACAGCTGGAGCCTGACTGCCTGCCTCTTCCACAGTACTCCCAAAAAGAGGACAAGTATGAAGAGGAGATCAAGATCCTGACCGACAAACTCAAGGAGGTGAGTGGCAGTAGTCTTCAGGTAGGGGAACTTGCTTTTTGGCATGCAGGATTGGGCAGACCTGGAGGGGGGGGTCCAAGCTTGTAGGGGGGCACCTGGTTTGATGCCTGCAGTCCTATGGCACTGCCATGTGTGGCTGTGTGCCTGCCATCCTGCTGGCTGACCGACTCTGACTCCTCTCCTGGGACAGGCGGAGACCCGTGCCGAATTTGCTGAGCGATCAGTAGCCAAACTGGAGAAGACCATTGATGACTTGGAAGGTATGTTGTGGGGTTGGAGAAGCCATGCTGTCACAAGGAGTGTTAATGGACTCTACCCCAGCACCTGTGGGGCTTGGGGCTGGAACTGAGGGAGTGGACAGGCTGCCCCCTGCTCGGGACACCGTTGTGCTCTTGATCAGACTTGGGTAGACCTGAGCCAAGGAGGTCTGAGCTCGCATGCTACCCCTCCATGCCAGCCTGGGCTGTTCATTGGAGTGCTGTCCTAGGTGTGGTCTTGGGTGATAGCAGGCCATGCAAAACAGACTTCCTGGCCTGCCCAGCTGCCCTGGGCATGGATCCCGAGGAGCCTGGTCTGAGTGACCCCAGACAGCAAGGCCACCAGCCTCCCCAGCTCTTTGCAAAGGCTTATCTGGTTTTGGGTGTTACCCAAGCCTTGTTCCATAACAGCAGCCAAGCAGAAGGCGGATGAAGCCAGGCAGCAATCCAGGGCGAGGTGCGACTCTCACAGGGCTGTGAGCTGCATGACTTCTCGTGGAGACAGCGCTGCATGCTGCAGCCTGTCCCTCAGCTGGGTGGCTGGCTCCAGCTGTCCTGCTGCTGCAGCAATGTAGCTGGGGGCCAGTGCGGCAGGCCGTACAGACAATCGCTGCATTGTGAGCAGCTGCTCTGTAGCATAGATGGCCGTGGGGGAGGAGTCCCCACTAGCCCTGAGAGTGTGTTGGTGTGTACCTGCACACTGGCTTCTGCTCAGCCAGTGATGGCAGGGTCTGTTGCCTTGCTTCATTATTTGGTAGATAATGCAGGTGCAGTCTATCTAGCTCCTCCTGCCCAGGTGTACATGTCACTCTGGAGTGGGACCTTGGAGTGGGAGTCCCTCCTAGGGTCTGCTGGTGAATCAGTTCAAAACAGGTTTTGTGCTTGAAAGCGGGGTGGGGAGAGAAGCAATACAAGTGCTCTAGCTGCTCTCTGCCCTTCTTAGCTAGAGAAACCTGTTCCACTCCCTCTGAAAAGGGTTGTGCCTTCACTTCCAGCCACCTGTGTTCCTCACGATCCAGCACTGGTCCCTGCGGATCCAGCAGGGCAGCTGAGTCTTGCACGTGAATTTAGAGCCACTGAAATGTTTTTAATTCTTAAAATCCTGGAGTCGATTCCATTGGCACTGGGGTGCATTGCCTGCAGGGCTTGTTTGGACCCAGCTCTGTCTTCAAGCTGTCCTTTTCAACAAAACAGGCTCTTGATGTGACCTGGCCGTGGGGTCTCCAGACACGCTTCGTTGTTTCCTGCTGGTAGATCCTCTGCTGCTGCTCCACCCCCTAGAGTTTTGATCAGCTCTTCCTTTCCCTCACTGTTTCCCTCTTCTCCAAACCTTTCTAGATGAGCTCTATGCCCAGAAACTGAAGTACAAAGCAATTAGTGAGGAATTGGACCACGCCCTCAATGACATGACTTCCATGTAAATATGAGTTGGCTGGTGTTTGTCCTCGCTTGAGCAGGCCTTTGGGCCAGCGCTTGCTTGGTTTGCCGTGATCGAGATGTTGGCTACAGAAGTGACACTAACTGCGTGTGTCGGTTACTTCTACAGATCTCTGCCTCTGGGTGTAGGCGGAGGTTCTCGCAGCATGCCGTATCTCTAACGCTGGCGTCGGGTCCCTGCGTTCTGCATGTATGGTGCTGAGTAGGGCTGGCGTAAAGCCGTGCTCAACGGGACTAGCATGAATCTGTTGATCTGAGTAGTGCAGTTCCCATTATGCTGGGGACAGCCATCCCTGTAGCAGGCCATTGAAGCAGGGTGGCTCCAAGGATTGGGTTTGGATGAAGTGGCAGGTGCCGCTGGCTAAACCTAGGGACTGTTGCTGTGAGGCTGGATTGAGTAGATAAGTGATCTGTGGAAGTAGCCAAACGAGTCTGTTGGCATAACCAGCTGTTGGCTTTGTTCTGACTTGCTGTGGATTCTAACCAGCTACTCTGTGCGTTTCCCATACCATTAACCGGGGGTGGGCAGGCGCTCGCCTCATAGAAGTAAGGACCCTTGGCTCTGGCACCTGAGCACTTGCTGCCCCGCGTGTGCCGTGTGCCAGCACACACCTCTCCTAAAATGCGTGTCTCCTTCTTTATTTCACGCAGATAAATCTTGTGATTCCAAACTCCACTTTGGATTTGCCCCTCTGCTTGATCACTTGTTCTGCATCTGCAACCTTCACTCTCACGCGCTCATCCTCCTGCTCACTGTGCCTTCCAGGGCCCTTGTCCAGTTAGACTGTATGCAAGGCAGCCCAGGGAGTCAACACTGTAAAGATGCTGTGAAACTTGACAGTGGCTGCAGCCCCTGGTGCACTGCACTTGCTCCTAAACAAAGCTTCCTGTGTATGACTGACGTGCCAGACACTGTGGTGCACACCAGGGCTGCCCTTACCGTGTGTCTGGGTGTGGGGCTGAGTGTCTGTTGTCATCTGCCTATTCTGTGTAGAGTCATAAAGCTCCTTTTGTACTTCTCTCTTGCCTCTTGGTTTAGCGTGAAGTCGCCTTTTTAAGGGGGGAAAAAACTACCTACATGTGTAAATTCACGGTGAGTGAAACGGCTGCTCTCAAAACGGGTATCTAGTGGCTGCTCTGTCCTAGAGCTCTGGTGTCTTGCCCCAGTGCAACTCCCTTGTCAGTGGAATACATCAATGTTGCACCAAGCTCCGTGCGGCTGTCTGTTCTTGCCTCAAATGTTCACATGACATTGCTAAAGAGCCCTCCTGGTGCAGCAAAAATCCTGAGGCTGCATTTGGTCATGATCACCCCAATTTTATTTTTTTTTTATTATTATTATTTTTATTTATTTATGCAGATAGTGCTGGAACTGTTTTGTGCTAGTGTGCTGTGCAGAAGTTCTCAGTTCATTAGCTTCCATATGAATGCTTTGATGGGATATTAAATGCCTGCTGAATTCTGGACAGGTATTGGTAAGAAGTAAAGTTTCTGCACTGACCTGTGCCTGCTTGGAGGTGAGGCATCTGCCTCTGGTTTCCAGATGTGGGTGTGTCTGTACAAAATGGACGCTATTGGCATCAAAATGCAGAGCTGGTCACGGGCACCCTTGGCTGCAGGTCTGAGGTGGGATCTACTTGGTCCTTGGAGGTTGCATGGTTGCACACATGCTGCAGGCACATCTGTAAGTGCCACATCTTACTGCCAACCTGGAACTTTCTGGCATCGTTTTCTGGCATGGGGGCACCCTGCACCATGTCGGGGCATGGTGCAGAGCGAAAAGCCATCCCTGCCAGATCAGTCAGCCCTGCTGCTGGGCATTCGTGGGGACTTGGAAAGGTGCAAGGTATCATATGAAGGCACTCTCACTGTCATATACCCTCCATAGCAAAGCTCCTTGTTGGCTTCTGCCACAGCTAAGAACCTGCCACCTCCCCAGCATGAGCAGCATCACATTGCAATCTCAGGCCTGATATGGCCCCTGCTTTTATCCTCTTAGTGCTACTCCTAGACATCCCAACTGGTCTGGGGTGGGGGGTGGGCTGAGCCAGCACTTAGCCGGGTAAGACATCCTGTCCTAGATCTGAGGCTGTCCCCTGAGGCAGGAAGGCCTAGAAAGACCTGAGGAGTGGATTAACTCCATCTAAATCTGCATGGAATGGCGGGTAGAAGTGCTTCTGAAATGACCTTGAAGAAGGGAGGTATGGGCAGGACCTCCCTGCCCAGAGGTGGATGGTTAGTGCCCAGGTGAGGCAATGTCTGGTCTGGGGCTTAGTCACTTCGTAGCCTGATGGGCTTCTTGCCCAGCAGTGGGCTGGGCTCCTGGCTGGGGGTGCCATAAACACAGATAAAAGCCCTTTGAAATGCAATCCTGAGCCTCCAGGCCATCTGGCACCATCCTTCCTTAGCCCTGGGGGAGGGGGATCTTTTTGAAGCCAGCAGGCTTGAGAACAAAGCAGCATAGCTGGATACAGAGCCCCTTTCCTGGGAACTGGCTAGTTAGTGGGCTGGCACCAGGCTCCTTTCCTGTAGGCTGTTGTGCTGACCTCTGTGCTGATGGTCCCATAGTGCACCGTCATATTGAGGTGGTCTGTGCTGTCACTAAATCCCCCGGTACAGGAGCTCTGCTTCCAGCTCTTCCTGCCTAAGCAGGGGCTGTGTTTTACAGTCTGCCTGGAGCCTTGCCTGTCCCTGCAGATACGGACAGAGTCCCAGTGAGCAGTGGCCCCAAGGGAGGGTGAGATCTGTGGGGATCTGAGGCTGCAATTCCATGTTACTTCTGCTGTAGGTGCCACACCAGGGGCTCTGTCCCTCTCCTGCTTCTACAACTGCTACTTAACCTCAGGCTTAGACCAGTCACTGGGTGGTTTGTTCAGCAGCCTTCAAGCCCAGAGAATGCATACCTAATGAATAGAGCCCTTGCTGGAGCAAGCAACAGCTCCCCAAGGATGGGGCAACAGCCCCATAGACATCTGGTCACACCTGCTGCTGACTTTGGGCCCCCTTTCCTTCCCCCTGGGTGGTGGCTGGTGTGCACTAGCTGCCTACTCCCCCTGACCCCAGAATACTGCAGGTAGGCTGCATGCCTTCTGTCCTGCTTGGCAGGAAAGCTGAGCCAGTAGATGCCTGCCCCTCCAGTTGTGAGGCTGCTGGCCCAGTCTTAGCCGATAGAACAGGCCTCTCTGCGTCAGGCAACAGCACGCTGCTGTACCATCCCCAGGGCTGAAATGTAAATGCAGCATGCCAAAGGCGGGTCCTTTTCTAGAGCATCTGTCCCTGTCCTGCCAGCTGACCATGTGGTTCTGGACTTAGCTCTGCTCTGCTACCTGGAGTGCCTGGCTGGTGTTGCTGGGTAGCATGTGCTCCATCAGGAGCATGGGCAGGGCATCCTTGCTAGGTGTCCTGACACATCTGTCCCCAAGGGACTTTCACGGTGGCTCATCGCTAATACTGTTTGAAAGCAGGCAGGGCTTTGGGGCTCCCTTGTACTGCTGGCCTGGTAGGAAGCTTGTGGGGGGCCAAAGTCTCACCCTGCAGGTGATCCTTTTAGCTCTTGGGACCCAGCCTTACAAGCACTAGTTCCACATAAATGCTGCCCTAAATGGCCCTGACAACTAGTCTACTTTCTTGCACTCTGCTTATACAGAAGACGGTGCCTCCAAGTGTCGTCTGGTGTTGGGGCATAAGAAACGGGCTGGCATGTAGGCTTCATCCTCCAGCACTGTCCTCTGCCTTCCTGTATCACTACAGATGCACAGCAACACTTCTGTCTGTACTTGGCTCCTTCTCTGACCCAGTCTGCTTCCTGTTTGCAGGCTGAGGCATCCATGGCTTGGAAGTCATAAAACCACGAGATGCTGAGACAGGTTGTTTAACGTGCTCACCTTGGTCTTCTACTAACCTTCCCTTTCTCTCTCTCTCTCTCTCTCTTTCTCTCCTTGTTTCCCTAATCCTCCTGTTGCTGCCGCAGAGCGCCTGTACAGCCAGCTTGAGAAAAACCGCCTGCTCTCTAACGAGCTGAAGTTAACGCTGCATGATCTGTGTGACTGAGGAGGGGCCCCACTAATGACATAAAAACAAGCTTATTGTGAGACCCGCCCAGTGGACCACAGTGAATTCTGATCATTATTACCAGGCGTGCAGCTTGCCCAACTAGTGCAGTTGCTGCTAAGGGGGTGGGGGGCAGTTGCAGTCCAGTATCTAATGTACTGATTCCTTTTTTGAATTTCTTCTTTTTAATGAGATTTAACCTCTCTTCAGTGCAGTAAATCCCTAGGACTGAGAATCCATCAGGCCAGTGCCTGGGCAGCTGTGCCCTATTGGCCTGCAGGGCTCTGCGTGCAGTCAGACTAGCAGTCCCCTCCAGCTTGTGGGTGTGGGCTGACTTAGAGGCTTGTACCTATTAGGCAAGCTGCTGTAGAGAAGACCAATGTGTATATGTAAGTGCTGTCCCCTGAATGCCTGTAGGATCTCCTGCTGCATGGATTGATGGCTGTTTCTGACAATAAACCACTGACCTCATGGTCTCTAAGATGACTGCAACCCTGTGCTACTTTCCTATAGATGAGCTCTGACCCAGAAAGTTTGGGGAGGGGCTTGGACAGCTGTGGGGGCTGGTCCATAAGGACCCCAGCTGGTGTGGGGATGATCCTCTTGGAAGTAAGTGTCTGTCACCAGATGCCTTCCTGAGGATGGGAATCCTGTGTGGGTTGGTGCAGGGGGTGTAGAGGTAGCTTCTGTGGGCTCCTGGGCAGGATCCCTGGCTTCCGCACCAGGAAGCAGCCTTCCTCCCAGTCTGACCTCCAGGGTGCTCCAGAAGAATGCACTGCGTCTCTGTCCATGCCCCAACAGGCCACCTGTATCGACGTACTCTCTTCCTGCAGCATGTCTGTCCGGTATTCCTGCATGTTGGGATTTGCTAGGGCAACATGATTAAGCAAGAACCCTGGCACCTGATGTGGGCTCCCCTGGCCCAGGGAGCATGTCATGACCTCTGGGTGGGCTTGAGCATGCATGCTCTCGTTAAGCCACTGTCTCCTGCTTGTGGAGAGCAGCTTCCTGGTTGGCTTCTACCCCTGCTAAGAGGCCTTGCTGCAGAGTCCCACCTTTGCAGGGCTGCTGGTCCTATGACATGAGCAGTTAATGCCTCCAGTGTGAACTCTGGGAGGGGCAGGCACTGGGTGCAGTTCTTTGGCTGAAGAGAACTGCTGAACAAAGCTTGGAGCAACTTGGGTGCCTGCTGGCGGATGCTTGGCCACTGGGCTGGGGTCTGCTCCCTGAAGCATTGGGGGAGGCCGGTGTCACTGATGCTTCTGCGCACACAGTCCAGGTGCTGGCACTAGCTAAACACACTGACCTTTTGAGCAGCAGCTGCAGCAGTACTGTGGGCACCAGCCTCTCTAGAGATAAAAGGCACAAATGAGTTGGGTAACTCCAGGGTTAGTGGTCACAAGGAGTCCTGCAGCCACCATGTAAGGAGTTAATGCAAGGCTGCTGTGCTGGGCACAGGTCAAGCTCTGGCTGGGTCTGTGCAGTTTTAAATTGATTTCTAACTGTCTGACTCTTGCCTCCTGCCAGATAAACTGAAATCCACCAAAGAGGAGCATCTCTGCACGCAAAGAATGCTGGACCAGACCCTGCTAGACCTGAACGAAATGTAAAGGACCCCTGCCACGCCTCTGCCACGCTGCTGGGCCAGCCCATCCGGCGCTGACCTGTAACCCTGGGCTTCACCGTTTACCTTCCTGTTGCCAATTCAGCCAAACACATTCCGCCAGCTTGCCCAAGGGTTAAAGGTCACCGGGTTGGGCAGAGCCTTAAACAGCTTCATTAAGGGAAATAAAGCAATGCAATAATGTTTGGAGAGCACGTATGAGATTGCACACTTTTTGTAACAACCTCTTTTGTAGTGACCACTGTAAATGTTCTGCGTAGCCTGGGGGGAGGGGGCTCGCAAGTGACAGGGGAAGCTTACAGCTTTACAATTTGATACTAACTTTGTGTCTGTCAGCTCTGCTCCTCTCTGCCTCTACAGCAGTGAGGGGAAGGGGGACCATTCCTATAAGCCTGCCTGGAAACACAGGCCCCATTGGGGAGCTATGCTCCACCTGCATATGGCTAGTGGGAATTGGAACTCCCAGGAGCTGTTTGCCAAAAAGTGCAGTGCAGTCTCAGCTTTAAGGTAACTCCACTCCTGTCCCAGAGCCAGGGGTCACAGCGAAGTGGGGGTTCCTCCTTTTTTTTTTTTCTTTTAAAAGACCAAATCTGTTCTTTAAACATATAGAGACTAGTTGCATGGACCTCTTTTATACCCTGTGTGGCCCAGTCCCCCTCTCTGTAGGCTACTAACAAACATAAAAACAGGCAGCTCCTCTAGCCGGTTGCTGCCACTGGGGCTGAATTTGCCTTCATTAAGTGCTGTGACACCAAGCTTTGTCACTCATCACTGAGCAAACATGTTCATAGCTTAAATACAAAAATGTCTCTTGTTCAAAGAGTTGCTTTTCTGAGAGGGGATCCCTTCCTGCCAGGAGCACTCTTGATGTCTTAACTGGGTACAAGCCATCCTGCAGCGTATTGCTGAAGCTCAGTTGTGTTGTGAGGTGCACGCACTGCGGTCAGTGTGAGGTTTGCATTGTGTAGCTCATCGGCTCGAGCGCTCCTTGGCTGTTCGTGGTTTTAGGGGCCAATCTGCAGAAGAACCATATCAAGTGTTTTGATACTAAAATTTGAAAATTGTCTTAATGTCTTTTGAAATAAAAGAACCATTCCCTCCATGCTGTGCTCTAGGTGTAGTGGTATTTATTTGCTTTATTTTTCAGCAATCTGGAGAGAGAAGGGTAAGTGCACGTAGCTGAGGATGGTGGAGTTTTAGTTTGGCTTAACACAGATCACAAGATTAAAGGCACCTTTTAATCTTGGCGTTCCCACTAGTGGAATGCAGCCTGCAGAGACCAAGCTCTGTAGCTGTCTGGTACATCCAGAAACAGAAGAGGGGAAACTAATCCTCCCCTCTTTCAAAAGACTGAATGTCTAGATCTGGGCTTTGGGCTGAAGTCTCTTCCCTTTCTTATGCGTTGAACTACCTGCATTCAGCTGCTGCTTGGTCTTGGTGATGGAATTAGATGGCTCTAGTAAAGAGCATCAGAAGGGACAAATTGGTGCCAGACTGGAATCATTCCAAAACTGCCTGCATAACAAAGGGGATACATATGTTGGGGTGAGAAGATCAGAAGACTACACTGTCTGGTATGTGCTTCTGCTTGTCCATCTGTTCCCAGTGCCTGTGGTGGGATGTCTTCATAATGGAGTCTGGGCAAAAACCTCTTGTCTGCTGAGTGAACCTACCCACTCTCTTCCTTGCTCTTTAGGAAGCTGCATACTGGTCTTTCTCCAACCTGAAGCGAAAGAAAGTGGGTTCATTAATTGCTTTTGCTAAAGAGTTGGCCAGGGAGAAGCCTTTCACATGCAAAGATCTTAATGCTGTATTACCCATTGTCTGTCTTATGCAGGCTGGTGCTATCTTGCCATAAGAAAACAGTAAATTAAAAATGAGCCCACTGTTATCAACCGGGGGCTGATGGGTTACGGAGGCATAGCACTTAAAATAACTGTCATCTGTGGCTGTGTGGTGCAGCTGGCGTATGGAACCCTCGTTTTATCTCCACTTGTCCTGTGCCTTTGCCTAAGCCTGCTTCCTGTAGGGAATATAGTGGTTACTGCTGCAGAGCAGAGGCAGGGTTAAGTGTTGCCTGGAGCAGGGGTGCAGCAGCCCTCCCCTTGCTGGGTGCAGCAGGGGAGGGGACTGAGCAGATGCTGCTCAGGGCTGCTCCACCCGGGACTGCAGGTGTGTGCACGGCTTTGTGCACTTCTCCCCGTTTCCTCCCCGCCCCATGCATGCAGGGGCTGCTGGGCTTCCAGCCTGCACCCTAATGTATGGAAGACAATTATTTGGGCTACCCTTTGGGAAACGAGCTGGGACCTGCCCGGGCCGGGAATCACGCCCGGCTTCTTGATTCCCAGCAAAGGCACCTGACCCGGGAAGTCCCCGCTGTCTGTTCGCCCCTCCCCCCGTCAGTTTCAGTCGGTACTGGGGCTCGAACCTGTGAGACTACGGAAACGGCGTAGCTCAGCGAGCTACCGGCTGCGCATGCGTAGAACAGAAAAGTCAGAGCATGCGTACACATGTCGGAGTAGACCAGCTAGGCGAGCCGAGTGACGCATGTGCAGAGGGTCCCTAGCGGGGCCGCATGCGCAGAATGGTAAGTGTGGTGGGAATGTGAGTGGCACCCGCCGCGTATGCGCAGAGAGCCCGCGCGCTGGAAGGCGGCAACCGCGCTCTGCGGCCGCCGCCATTTTGTCGCCTCTCACGCTATGAGGCTGTCGAGGCCGCGCCGGGCCGCTCTGCTCCTCCTCGCCTTCCTTGCCTTCTTGGCCCCCTCCTGGCCCTATAAGCTTAACGTGCCAAAGGTGCTGCTGCCTGTCAGCCGGGAGCTGCGGGTCCCCTTTGTGCTGGAGGCCGAGGGTGGCTGCTACTCCTGGTGAGGGAGAGCTGGGCAGGCACTGGGGTCAGGGCTGGGCCTGGGGGGAGGCCTCTGCTTGGGGATGGGAGCAAAGGTTGTCCGGGGGGATGGGCAAAGGTTTAGATGGGGGAGCCGGGCCTGCAGCACGGGTAACCTGGGCCTAGGGCAACGGATGGGGGTCGTGGGAGACTAGAGAGGCACCAGCTCCTCCTTTGGGAGCACGGTGGCATTTGGCCTCTGGGGAAAAGAGGTGTTGTGGCTGGACATGGTGGAGACCAGGGGTTGCTGCTTTGGCCCCTTGATCTGGTTCAGGTCTTTGCTTTTCCGAGCCCTGCCCTTATCGCTCATCCGATTCAAAACCGGCACAAGTTAAAAAAGCCCTTGGCTTTTTGGTAGCCCGGGGAGATCGCTGCCACAAGACATGTTTAAGGTGCTTGTGTGCAGGGCTCAAATGTGTGGCTGAATAACAAGGACATGGAGGGTTTTGCAAGAGCCAAAACACACCTGACGTTTTGGAGCAACCTGCAACTTCTAGGCCTTCAGCTAATCTCAGTTCGTTTTCCCTGGAGGGTTTTATTCTGCAAGAGCCTGTTTCTCGCATCATCCTCTGCGGCACCTGGTACCAGCAGTTGGTGATGGACAGAGCCATCCCTGGGGGTGGGGTGTGAATCAGGGTGACGGTCCCAGGTGTCCGGCCACTGCTGGCTTCGCATCCAGCCATGTGCAACTGGTGCCTCTTGAGTCAGGGGTGGCAAATGCCCCGCCAGTGACCAGTCAGCAACTGGGGGAGGGGTATCTGGCAGCTGATCGAGCTGACAGGGTGGGGGCGTCCCCCACGGCTGATTGCACTGTCTACGCTGCTGGGGAGGTCCCCTTTGCAGAAGATCTCACTTGCTAAAAAGTGGCTGCAACGCTTCCCAAAGTGCCTGTGGCCTTTTCTGCTGGCAGCCCTGCTCCCCGGCTAGCAGTTGTGCACCAGCTGTGAGCGCAGCTGCTTCACCTGACGGCCCTGCTCCCCAGACTGCACTCATGGGGGGGCGTTGCCGCTCCTGCCTGCCCTCCCTGCCCATCACCTAAGCGGTGAGTGAAGCCATTAGGATGTATGCTGGTGCTCTAAGGGAGTGCATGTGCACCCCCTGTGCAACGCCACTGCGTCTAGCCGCCCACTACCCCCCTCCCCACCGCCAACACCACCACTGCCAATGGCAGCGGCAGCTTCTTCAGGTTCAGGGCGCATGGGATCAGAGTGGAGGCGAGGCCCGGCATGGGCTGATTTGCCCCAGGGTCTGCACCCTGCTCGGGTCGGCTCTGGTGACGGGCCGCTAAGCTATCTGGGTGCCTAATCTGATCCAGTCTAGCATTTAAACGTCTTGCGGTATATCCCCTTGGTAATATGTTCTCTCACGCATGCCAGAGGTACTACCCCACTAGAACACATCTTTCTTCTCTTTTGTAATAAAACAGTGAATCAGTCTGTAATATACCACATATTTATTTTACCCCAGATAATGCAAATTATATTGCGAAGTGGAGGAGGGAGAAACATCCAAATGTCTCTGTTTTTTCAGGTATTCTACCCGTCAGGATACAGTCACTGTTGAGCCAGTTTACAAGAATGGTACCACTTGTTCACAAAGAGCTTTGCTGTTTGCTCAGTCTACCCAAGCCACGAAACTAAGCAGTGTTGTTATAGCTGAAGATCGTGGTACGTAGACAAAGAGTAATGTGACAGGAAGGGATCATGGGTTCAAAATTAAATTCCAAAGCTGTAGAGAAGAATAAATCAAGGGAAAACCCCTTAATAAGCTAGTCTGTCCACCTTAGACCAGTATTTACAATAGTATGCTTTCAGGCATCTTATTTCATCTAAGTTTTACAGTCCAAGGTGTGGAATTATGGTATATTGTGTTTTTAAATTAAAAAATACTGTTCATTTCGCAGTCACAGATAACAGCACGAGACCTATGCAAAAGTACTCTGATGCACATTAGGCACCTCAAGTTTGCATGTGACTTCAAAAAGGTAGCAACAAAAGTGTATAATGTTGCAGCATCCATGCTTCAGAGTCCCAGACTGGGTGTATTGGAGATTGGGAGGGTTCTCTGCTTTCTTAGTAAGGCCTGTTCCCCTCCCATTGCCTTGAGATCCATGGCTTGCTTCTTTTTGTTTTATCACTAGTGCTAGCATCTCCAAATTTGGAAAACCAAAATAGACTTATGGGATATGAATTAAAGGGCACTTTCTTATTTTAGTGACAGGCCATTTACTACGTTGTGATGTCATTGTTGATGTGATAGACAGTATTGAAATTATCTCACGAACTCGAGAAATCTACGTGGAAGATGCTCCGTTGGAGTTAACTGTGAGGGCTCTGGATATAGAAGGTACTGTGTGCAGGACAAACTGCTGGAGCAACTGCCAGGATTTAACTCAGCCTTCTTAGAAATAAACACATCTTATTCTTCCTGTATTCTTATTGATCTTATATAGGTAGCATCTATTTATTAATTTGCTGTTGATATTTGTTGTCAAGATGTTGAAGAATTCACACATGTTTAAACAATTGATCTCTTTCTCTTATGCAGACTTGTAGAATTGACCTAACATGGTGGCTAGAGAAAGGAGATTCAGTTTCATCTTATTGTGCCTTTTTTATGTTCGCTTATATTATCCTATGTAAAATATATTTGTTCCTCTGCTCCATATAGGGAAATGTGGCCATATCATGAACTCTATAACATTTCTCATTTTCAGCTACAGAAAGTATTTGATTGATTCTATTCTATTCATTAAATGTTTTAACATAGGAATTATATGAGAGTTTGTATTTCTCTTTCAATCAGGGTATGCTAAGCAAAAGAGTGATGCGTGGGTGAGTGTAAAAACTGGTGTTGCAAGCTGCTCAGGTGCCATGGTAATGAAGCTTGTATAAGGTGTGAAATAACATTTATCAGAATTCTTGCTTCCTAAACTTTAATTACAGCCACAAAGTGATATATTAATGATTGGTTAAATGTGTTGTATGGTCATCCCAACTAAATGAAAATAAAATGAGCACCGTTCTACTTTTCATCCCAGTTTGTCTTCTGCATGTACGTGGATTTTCATTTATGACTAAGGAGAGATTGGATGTGATCAGAAACTTCTTTGGAATATGTAGCTTTTGTGGTGTGGGTTCATGTACAAGATTAAGAAGGGAGAGAGAGATCGTATTAAAAACACTGCAAGCCTGTTGAGCTTGTGGCCTCCTGCTTCATGGCTCTATAATGGTAGGCATAGTGAGCAGCAGACAGTAAGGACACTTGGTCATGGCATATCAATGCTGCAGCTTTTTACCTTTTCTCCTAGCCGTATGCAAAAGAGAGATGAATGCCTCTACACACAAAAGCATAATATACGTTCACCAGTGCATACTTCTGAACTTGTCATGTCCATACTCATTTTAGTTTCTATCTTCAGGAAACACATTCAGTAGCTTGTCAGGAATGACATTTGAGTGGAACATTGCCAAGGATGATGACATGGACAGCTTAGAACTCTCTAGCAAAATTAGGTAACTATATTTTGAATCATTAAGAAAACAACCCAACCCCCTCCACCCTTGACATTTCTATAGTACCTTTTATTCCAAGAACTCCCAGGGAGTAGGGGAGATAGGAAGTAGTATTATATCCATTTACTTATGCATACTTTGAGAGAGAGAGAGGGAAAAAATATTTTTCCCTAGGTACTAGTGAATCCATGGTAGACATGGGGATATAACCCAATTTAGCTTTCCAGTCTTATGCACTGACTGGTAGGTTATGCAGCACTGGTTTTGATAGTGGAGTTAGTTGCAGAAACAGTTCTCAGAAAGAATGCCTTTCCCCTGGCTATAGTAGTAAGTAATACTTAGTACAAAGGGAGGGTTCTGTGGTACATTAGTTTAAGATTGCCAAAGTGTAAACTCTCCTTTACTTTGTTTTATCACCAGATGTGCCATAGAGAGGCAGGCCCCTTACATCTCAAAGTCAGCAGTGAATGGTTGTGTGGGCAGATCAACACAGGAGTTACATACCCTTTTTCCTCACATTTCTCTTCACACCATGTCATCCCATAATGTTTGTCCTTCAGTTACACTATCATTTTTACATGGATTAAAAATAGAACTTGAAACAATCACAGATAACTTTTTCTGTCTCATTTTGATTTTTCAGGATTTTAAAGTATTCAGAGGCAGAGTATTCTCCCCCAGACTATATTGTTGAGCTAGAAAGAGCAGAAAAACAAGGAGACAGGATTCTGGTTTCAGGAATCAAAACAGGCGCAGCAGTTGTAAAAGTCCGAATACAGGAACCAGTTTACAAGGTGAAGCCTTACTATGGATTTCCACCTTTAAAACAGAACTTGTAACTTGGGTTGCAGTTTTAGGCATTTCCTTGTTAAAACTGTTGTTTTCTTTAGCACCACCAACACTGTCATATATCTTTCAGAAGCTACCAGTAATGATACCATTCAGATTAATTTCCAGTCAGAAATTTGGAATTAAAAACTAAATTTGGCCAGCTTTGATAGTACAATATTAAAAAGGGGGGAAAATATCCTTAAAACTGCTTTGAAGGATCTAGTCTTCTACCAGTAATAAGTTATTTACAGATGCAGTTCTCATTAGGGTTAATGGAAGTCAGTTTATAAATCCCAAAAATCTATTATAGCCACCCCTGCTGAGTTGGAGAAGATGCTGTCAACTTCAGTCATATTTCTTCCTGAATGTTTGTTTTGTTTGCTCTTAGCACCAGCAACATCTAAGACAACTATAAATAAAAGATTAAATAAAAAAAATTTTTTTCAGTTGGCTACAGTGTTTGCTAACATTTGATGCATGGTCAGTTTCACTTTTATTTCCCCTAAGTGATGAAAATTTTACTTTTTTTTTTTCCCATTTCACATACCACTACCACCAAAAAGGAAAACATTTAAAAATAAGAACATGTGGTAGTAGAATCTCCTAAAACTGGTAAGGAGACACGGCAGACGTAATTCATTTAGCAAAAGATAAAAATATTGATACACACTGTGGTTCAAGCTGACTGCCCCTTTAAAAGAAAACTGCCATTCTATTGTGTCCACGTGTCAAAAGGTTCAGGAGGTAAGAGACCTTCTCCTGTTAGTGACTAAAATGTAGTGCTAAAGTAATATTAATTACAGTTGGCATTTTGGAGCCTCCTGCTGGTAAGTGATCCTCTTGCTGAAAAAATGACATTGTTGCCAGGTACTAATAGTAAGTTGCTTTTTTATTCTTCCTTCATTAGAAAATATCTGCTGCTCTGGTACGTCTGCTGGTTCTGGAGAATGTATTTCTTGTACCCTCCCATGATATTTATCTTCTGGTTGGAACCTACATCAAGTACAAAGTTGGTAAAATTGTACAGGGAAAGATTACAGGTAAAGTTGTTCTTTTAATGCCTCTGAGTTTACCAAAATCTTTACTAATCTTTCCTAAGTGAAATTGAAGCAGATAATTCACACAGGCAGTAATTTCACTTCCCATAGACCTATTCCTGACTACAGGAGGAACTATGGTTAAGCCTAAACCTATACTCACACAGTGTAAAAACTTTCCCTGTATGTTCCTTGTGATGGGCATCTTTTTTATAAAGACTAGCTCGGATGTCATTCTTAGTAGAGGATACTCTATAGAGTCTGGTGACTGTATTGTGTCTGGGGTAGTAGAAAAGTCAAACTCTGGATACTGGTTATGCTTGGGACTAACCAGCAGACGATATTGCTAAGATGTGTCTGTGTGCAAGCTTTGACACTGAGAGATATTAGGACTAACATACATGTACTTTAGTAACATTTCCTCTAGGCTCCTAACCTTGCAGCTCTTCTTTGACTGTTGTCATGAGATTGTATTCATGCCCTTCTAAAGGAAAAATCAATTGTGCACTGATGTGAAATATGCATTGTTTTGTACAGTAACTTATTCTTTGCAGAAGTGGATTTACCTCTTGAACATTATGAGCTTGAACTGCGTGATCAAATCATTGCAGCTGGTGGGTCTGACCATCTTCCAGTGGCTCAGCTGGATGTGAACACAGCCACTGTAACAGCAGTGCAGCTTGGACAGGTTAATCTTGTGTTTGTTCATAAAAGTATCCTTTAAAATAAAGCAAAAAACATAACGGTCTTCTTTATTTGTGTAGCCATTCTCTTTCCTGAGCAAGACCGAGCTGAATTCTAGTAAAGCCATACTTTAGATGGGTCAGATAAGCAAAGCAGATTAGTTGAAACCCTGTCCTGCAGTATCTCAGAATTCTGTGATATCTTGGGGCATTACCTGCACTCGAAGAAACAACTTGTCCTTCAGTACCTAACCATTACTTCTTCTAACTGGGTATGATGCATGCTCACTCTTCCACTTTAAAGTCAATGCTATTCATTCTTGGTAGCCAGTCAGCAAGCACTGTCACTCAGCTTGACATACTCAGCTCCTTTACCTCTGACTCTTCTGCGATGAGAATGAGTTGTCTATCCAGGTTCATGATCCAAATCTCAATTAAGTCAATTTAAAGACACCATTTGATATTGGTGGAAATTGGATAAGGCCCCAAGTTCCTACATTTGTTTTCAGTTTAAATAGCCTAAGGTTATGTGTCTTATTTAAAGACTAAATTCCTTCCTTATGCAAAAACTAAGATATCCACATGCGAGCTGCATCTGGACTTCCAAACTGTACTATCTATGTTGTAGAGGCTGCATTTTTAGGTAATTATTCAGAAGATGATAGTTTGATTTTAAACTCTTATTGCTTTGTGTTATTAATCAATAAAATGTTTGGTTTTTTTAAGAGACTAACTCATAGGACTGTACAGCTTGCATGGGGCTGCTTCTTACCTCCCCTGTGCAAAAACCTGTTCTCAGAATCTGGTGTAAATGTATAGGTCAGTTTGTTTGTTTAATATTATAATTTCTTCATATCAGTTGTAGGAAGGTTACAAGTTAAAGAAAATAGCCCCATGCTATTTCAAACTTGTTAGTTTTTATTTAACACATTTATTTTTGTTTTGCTTTCCCCTCCCCCCCCTTAACTCTTGCATGTTTGTTGTTGTTTTGTTGTGTGCCTCATTCATGGTTATTTTCAAACATTTTTTGTTTTGGAGGTTGAAGGGTATATGTTATGGCCAAACCCATTCTATATAGGTAGTAACATTACTTAGTTGAAGTATTTTGTATTTTTGGTTGGATACAGTAGGCCACTTCTTGCCCTGCTAGCTTTTCTGTACTCAAATGCTTACCTTGCTTTGCACATGACTGAGTTTAACTGATAGACAAAGTGATGTATGTCTAAATACACACATGGTTTGTGTGAGTACTTTTAAACCACATGTATGAAAGGCATGATGAAAAAGGAAGATCGTTCTTGCCGCTGGTTAGCCTCACATTGTAAAGAAATAAGTTCTGTTAGTAGAATGAATCCCAGGTCTTACTGAGTCAGATTATTTGAATTCTCCTCTTCCAGCAGAGGCTTGAAAATTAACGCTTGCATAGTCACAATGTAGAAATCTAGTTAGTGATCTCTAAACTTTAGAAGAGTTAATTGGACTAAAGAATAACAGTGCACGGGGGGCACCAGAAACAGAAAGAACAAGTCATAGTTGCCTCATAGATCATTTCACTGTTATGGTACATTAGCAAAAGTGGCTGGCTGCTTACTGCACTGTATTTTTTAAGTGTCTCAGGAGTTCAAGAAGTGTGGATAAGCGTCACTGGATAGTTCAGGAGATGGGAAATGGATCCTTTCCTTTTAGCTCATGAGTTCTAATAGAGAAGAGTTTCATAGTGGCCATAAATTATCACCACCTAATGGCTGTTTGTATCTATCCGTACCCTTATTGCCTTCGATAGAATTTATTACAGATTTCTTTCTAGCTCCTATAAATGGTGCAGAATAAAAGTGAGAAGCAATGCAGAAAAACTAATACTATCGTTGCCTGTACTTAATTTGTTTTGGAACTGAAAAAGATTATTCAGCCCTCAAAGCTGTTAATCTAGCACCTTTTACCAACATTCAGTTTACAAAATAAAACCCTTTTTTTAAAAAAATCCTTTTAACAAGCCACCTTTTTATGCTTTATTGCAGGTTTCACTATCCAACCAGGAGACAGATGGGTTCTAGAAGTCAGGGGAGTGTATACAATCACTGTTGAAGTATATGATAAAGCCAGCACCAAAGTTTATTTATCTGATGTAAGCATGTGTAAAGTTAAAAACTTGGGCAGCTGCCAAAGGGAAGCATCTGTTGTGCCATATCTCTTACACACCCTCAACAGCAATAATAAAAGAATTCATGTCCTTTCCAAGTTTACTGAAAACAGTTTATTCTTCAGATGTTTATGGCTGATAAATAATCTGGTCTCTAGAATTTAGCTTAGTGTACTTTTAGTTGGGAAAAGCATAAGTCTTATTTTAAAATTTAGATTACAGCCTTCATTTAGATGCTGTAGTTTTCCAGTAAATTAATTCCCCAGTATGTATTTCTTTATATTTAAAGTAGATTCAAAACTAAGGTAGTGGCTCTTATGAGAAAAGAAACAATAACTTATTAGTTACAGTCCAAGCTTGGGACTCAGATCACCATGTGACCTTGTGGAAGTCATTTAAACTTCTCCGAGTCTTAGTTTTAGTATTATTAACACGGTGGTGACAACATTTCCCTAACTTAGTGAGATTTATTGCAATAGTTATCCTTGCAGGCCATTTCTCTTAGGAAAAAATGACTTCAGTGCAGTACAGGAACCAAAATAAAATGATTGGTGCTTTCACTTGCCCAGCCATGTCCAGAATCAACTTCAAGCCATAGCTGTTCTGATAACCATGTTGGCTTCTGAACTGAGAAGGCATAACAGGTGCCTGGGTGATTGTGGGTGTGCCAAGTTCACTTATAGTATGTTTCAAAATCCTTCTGATAGGAAGTGGATTATGTTTTCTTAGGAAATGGATAGATCCTTCTCTGTTTTTTTTTTTTATTGTTGATTTACAGAACATAAGAATAACTCATCACTTTCCCATGGAATATCTTGAAGAGATAATGTCTTCTGCTAATGGTTCTTACCATACAGTTCAGGTCCTGAAAGGTGGCATCACAATAATAAAAGCTGCATTGACTTCTGTTCTTCTACAGGTAAGAGGTAAGGGTTGCAACATTCCCTTACCAGCAGCAGTCACTGAGGCCCTATGAGAGTACTGTTCACAAAAGAATAAATTGAACTGCTGCATGTTTCAAATTATGGAAGTTTTGCTTATGTACTATTTACTTTGGGTTGTAGCAGCATGTCCTCCATACATTTTTTTGTGGATGAACAACTTCTATATCTCCAGACAAGGTTCTTTGGGTAAATCTGATATCTTTTATTAGACCAACTTAAACAGTTGAGAGAGAAAATTTAAAGCAAACTTTCGGGTTTAAAAACCCTTCATCAGGCTGAGGAAGTTTCTGCAGTTGGTGTGTGCTCTTCCTGGATAGAATGAAAAGTAAAGAAGCCAGAGGCTTCTTGTCTGCCTATGTCCTTAGACCAACATGGCTACAACCTACACCCCTTCTACATCTCCAGGGATAATGGGCACTCCCTGACAGGAGAGTTTGATTTCCTCAGAGAAATGAGAATCTAAGGACTGGGGGAAGATAGCATGACAAATTGAACCAGGCAGTCTAGAGGATTAACAAGTTTCACTAAGCTGCTCATATGAGTGTGTGTGCTTATGCCATGACATCACCTATCTATTCTGAGTTCTGTAGAAGGAAGAAGCAGGAATAAGAGTGAAATAAATAAAAATATTTAGATTGCTTGTCAGAAAAAAACTTCAGACTGGGGACATCTGTTATACTACTTGGTAGTCTTGAAAGGCAAGTGGTGAAAGGTACATTGTTCAGGATTTTTCAGGTACCTTTCTGGATTAATCTTTGGAGCCACTTGGTTGTTTCTGTCCGGTTCTATTGCTGTTGCCTTTCAAATGGCTTTGAATGGTGAGAGGCACTGATGTAACAGTATCTTAGATTCTTGTACCCTTCTAAACTTAATACCTTAGCATAATTGAAATGCAAGTGCAAGAACTATTAGTGTTAGTTCATGATGCTTTATTTTGGTTTTGGCAGCAAGTGTGTGTCTGTGCAGAGCAGATGCATTAAAGTCTGCTTTTAGTGGTTATTTTCCTTTTTATGACCATAGTGGTGTCTTCCTTTTATAAATTTAAGTTTTGTCCTGCATTCTTTTGCTTGGTGAGTTTCTCAGTGGAATTAATATTTCTCTTCTAATTTTATGCTTAAGGCAAGACCCTGTGGGAACAACTGGAGATGATAATACTGTTGTTGGGGAATTTTGATTAAGCTTATCCAAAAAAACCCTTCAGTAGACTTCAGGCAGAACAGTGTTCCTCCTTTCAGACTTGTTTTTCAAGTAACTGCTAGGAAGTACAACCTGAAAGGAGGTGCTTTATTTAGCAGTTCAAGATCATTGACTGTCCCTTTTGTGACTGGGCCACTTAGCTAAAGATGACATTTCCTTGTTTTCTGTGTGCAGGATGGATCCGAGGCATACTTTCCTGCCCCAATTAGTCACGAACAGGAGGCAAGGGTTTACCTTCGAATCAAGCTGACACCCTCCTTCCTTGCTTTTCCACACCACCATATGGAAGTTTTGTATCGACATAGAGTTCAGGTGAAGTATACCGTGACATGGAAATTCATGAGTGCCTCCTTGATATGAGCAGGCAACGTTCTTTGGGTAGATGTGATATCTTTTATTAGACCAACTAAATAATTGGAAACAGTTCTTTGCAAGCTTTCAGGTACCAACACCCTTCCTCGGGCATTGGGAGACTGCTGCTGTCTGTGGTCGCCAAGGTAGAAAAGATATGATATGAGAGCCCCTTCCAGAAAAATGCTAATTAATAATATTTAGCTAATAGAGACCCTGTGAGCATTGTCAGTACGGAAGCAGGGGAAACATCAATCTGTTTTTCTTTGCTAGTCTAGTCTTGGGTTGGATTCTGTGTCTATTTAAATAAAGGGCAAAACCTCATTGAACACAGTGAAGCCAGGAGAAGACCCCATGCTAGGAACATGGTTGGCTGATCACTTTTTTAGGTCCCATCCCTGGT